CATCGTTTGACAATCGTGGAGTGATCCGCAAGAGGGGCTACGCTCTCAAATGAACAAAGTTGGCCATACGAGGCGATTTTCAACGCAAGCCGAGAGTATCAATTTTTTGGAATTTCGACGGCAATGGACTCATTGACTACTACAACACCAAAGGTACCTTCGACAGGATTGTGTTCTTTAAGTGCTGTCGCGACTTTGTCTACAACAAGCGTGGCAACGTTCGGCAGTACCCTGGACACAATTCTGTGTGGATTCTTGATGGAGCATCCATCCACCGTCACCCAGAGATCGTACATTTCCTGCGCAGTGTTAGTATCGTTCCCATTTTTCTGCCGGCGTACTGTCCATTTTTCAATCCCATTGAATTCCTCTTTGGCTATGTCAAAAAGGCTTTCCAGCGTTTTTATGTTGAAGACAATTTGCCAGATCTACTACCATTTGTCGTGGAAACATTTCGACGGTTTGAGAAATTCGACATGTCAAATATATGACGAAGCCGAAGCAAGACATTCTGGACCAGCGCGAAGACGCAAAGAGCAAGAAAACGAGCAAGATCGTCAGCAGGTGAAAAGGCATTGGGTGAGCTTTGTGCTCCTCTTTGAGGTTTTTTTGGCGGCAATACTTTTGAAGACCGACCACATATTTCTTCGACTTAGCCTCGTACGATGGGTTTGGTACAAAATATTTTTTAAAAATTTATTTAAAAGTTAAACGCCGAGAACAAGGCAACCAATGCATTCTTCGCCGTGTCAACCGTTATGGCTTTGCGACCGAGAGAGTATAGTGAGTGAAATAAGTCCGTGCAATCGGCTGTGGTCGAAAGGGTAGGGTCCATTCCGTCCTTGAACTGTCGCTGGTATGTCAAATACGTTCGCCGCGTGGACGCGCCGTGGAACGATTCTTCCATTGTTTTCTTGCTTGGTGTCTTCTCCATCGCTAAATGTGAATTACCAATCCAAATTAATATATGTTAAATCTTAGTGATATGTTCTCACTACGACATTTTTCTCGGCCAATTGTTTAGCTAAATTTTCGTGCAGCCAATGTTGCAATATTGTCGCGTTGCTTTTCCACTCATACGCTTCTGAGTGTCGGTTCTGTGTCGGTTTTGTGCGCGATGTATCAAATGGAGTTGAAACGGCTACAAATTCTTCCCCCGTGGTACTAGAGAAATATATTGAAAATTGTATGAGGCAATATTATTTCGACGTTCGGTTTTGCTGGAAACTATATTACATTCAACTTTTTCAGCTGATGAGGACTGCGTTGTTATTGGTCGAAAATTTGGAATTTCGACGGCAATGGATGCTCGCGACCAAGTTGTTGCGACCAAGTTACAAGTACAAATAGTACTTTCACAACTAGTAAATACTTCCAGTAACCAAACCGTTACTGAGAAAGGTCCTTCGTGGACGAGAGATTGAAAACCCCACAAATTATTTCTTTCCCATCGGCAATCCTTCGGTGTATCATGGCCAGTCTCTTCTCGGCTGCGGACATCACAGACACTTCGCGGAGCCACTTGCCGGTATATCAGCTTGCTCGTCAGATGCCCCGCGTCCAACGAGTGAATCGACTAATCTTATTGTCTCGTACAATCATAAATTATTTTTTGTTTTTGCTTTTTGTATTGATGTCTGTATTGTTCAGATTCTTTCTGAGCGAGTCGTACAATTTGGACAAAAACTACAGGCCAGCGTTTTCGCTGCTGTAAACCAATGTTACATGAAATCGAGAGGGGTGTTAGTGCATTTTGTGAACAGTCTGCGGTTTTCAATTTCATATTGCGCGTTGTTGAAGTACATTGTTGTCCAAAACAAAGCACCAGACATATCTGTTGTGAGTGAACGAATAAACGCCCCACGACAACGACGAAGGTAGCATGCATGTTTTAACTTAATTAATGATTGGTCGAAGTAACCTTCTTGGTCGATAATAAGATGAAAACAAATTCGCTCTGGTGCGATGTTCAAGGCGTTGCTGGAATTAGATTGAAATGGTAATAGTAATTGTGGGGTCACAGCGAATGACAGCGGGCACTACAGCCGCTCAGCCACAAGGCAATCTAACTTTGGCATCTGGTGCACCTAGGTTAATCATATAACTGTAAGGATAACACCATAAAACACTAGGATTTTAGCAAACTAAATATCAGTAACAATGTGTTAAGTTTTTGTTTGACGACTGCAAGATCAAGTTGTATCATATCATGTGCTTGGACGTGGATAATATTGTCATCGATTGGCCAAAAATATATTAACTTCATGAGACTGAATTTTGGACGTCCATAATATTAATACTCCAAAAGCTTGGTCGACAGACACGGGGGAAGGATTTCCGTCGCTCCCTGTAATCCATCAAGAGATGTCGTACAGTGATGCTCCCATTTTTGAGCGGCCTGATTCTCATAAAAAATAAAAGGTACTTCCTCTGTTTCATATTACAGTGTCGTTACGACTTCGCCGACCCCAAATTAATTCAAATTATTCTTCGAAATACAACATCATTATTTAAAGCACATAAAAAACTACAGATACAATCAATTGGATGCCAAGCGCCAGGAGTACAAATTCGTGGCCAAAAATCACCTCGAAACCTGAACCACTCAAATAATACTACGCCACATACTCAAATCGTATCAAATTTGAATTTTCCGCCATGGAGGATCAAGTCAAACGCACGCA